CTAGACCACAACCACACTGGCATGGACTGGTACTCCACCACAACCACATGGCATGACTGATACTCCACCACAACCACACTGGCATGACTGGTATTCCACCACAACCACACTGGCATGACTGGTACTCCACCACAAACACACTGGCACGACTGGTACTCCACCACAACCACACTGACATGACTGGTACTCCACCACAGCCACACTGACATGACTGGTACTCCACCACAACCACACTGACATGACTGGTACTCCACCACATCCACACTGACATAACTGGTATTCCACCACAACCACACTGGCATGACTGGTACTCCACCACAACCACACTGACATGACTGGTACTCCACCACAACCACACTGACATGACTGGTACTGCACCCCAACAACACTGGCATGACTGGTACTCCACCACAACCACACTGACATGACTGGTTCTCCACCACAACCACACTGACATGACTTGTACTCCACCACAACCACACTGACATGACTGGTACTCCACCACAACCACACTGACATGACTTGTACTCCACCACAACCACACTGACATGACTGGTACTCCACCACAACCACATAGGCATGACTGGTACTCCACCACAACCACACTGACATGACTGGTACTCCACCACAACCACACTGGCATGACTGGTACTCCACCACAACCTCATAGGCATGACTGGTACTCCACCACAACCACACTGACATGACTGGTACTCCACCACAACCACACTGGCATGACTGGTACTCCACCACAACCACACTGCCATGACTGGTACTCCACCACAACCACACTGGCATGACTGGTACTCCACCACAACCACACTGCCATGATGGTACTCCACCACAACCACACTGACATGACTGGTACTCCACCAACCACACTGGCATGACTGGTACTCCACCACAACCACACTGACATGACTGGTTCTCCACCACAACCACACTGACATGACTGGTACTCCACCACAACCACACTGACATGACTGGTACTCCACTACAACCACACTGGCATGACTGGTACTCCACCACAACCACACTGACATGACTGGTACTCCACCACAACCACATAGGCATGACTGGTACTCCACCACAACCACACTGACATGACTGGTACTCCACCACAACCACACTGGCATGACTGGTACTCCACCACAACCTCATAGGCATGACTGGTACTCCACCACAACCACACTGACATGACTGGTACTCCACCACAACCACACTGGCATGACTGGTACTCCACCACAACCACACTGCCATGACTGGTACTTCACCACAACCACACTGGCATGACTGGTACTCCACCACAACCACATAGGTATGACTGGTACTCCACCACAACCACACTGACATGACTGGTACTCCACCACAACCACACTGGCATGACTGGTACTCCACCACAACCACACTGACATGACTGGTACTCCACCACAACCACACTAGCATGACTGGTACTCCACCACAGCCACACTGGCATGACTGGTACTCCACCACAACCACACTGACATGACTGGTACTCCACCACAACCACACTGGCATGACTGGTACTCCACCACAACCACATAGGTATGACTGGTACTCCACCACAACCACACTGGCATGACTGGTACTCCACCACAACCACATAGGTATGACTGGTACTCCACCACAACCACACTGACATGACTGGTACTCCACCACAACCACACTGGCATGACTGGTACTCCACCACAACCACACTGACATGACTGGTACTCCACCACAACCACACTGGCATGACTGGTACTCCACCACAACCACACTGACATGGATGGTACTCCACCACAACCCATGCCATGACTGGATCACACAACCACACTGACATGGGGTACTCACCACAAATTTGGGGTTTACGGTACTCCACCACAACCACACTGCAGGGTGGTACTCCACCACAACCACACTGGCATGACTGGTACTCCACCACAACCACACTGGCATGACTGGTACTCCAGCAGCTGAATTCTTTAACGAAGAGACACACACGTGACAGAATATTGATATTTAGCAAATAATTTCAACTTTCTAAAAGCTACGAACTAACCATTATTTTGTGCCTTGACCAGAGACACCTCGGAGAGCTCAGTGTCGATGTTATAATGATTCTTTCTTGTCTCTCAGAGGTACAGACACTGCTGATGTATCTCGGCTGCGATGTAACGTGGATGTTGCAGTTGGTGACCTGTTCACAGTACACGACAGGAACCAACACCAAGGAACTCACTAGAACTCACTCCTTAATACTACTACTACTATCTGGAGAACGTCGTTGTGAAATATATCAGATATGGAGTAAGTTTAGTGTTTGTTTGTGTGCAAGCATTCTCTCAGTTTCCCGTGCAGGGAATCCTAGTCTGGCCCTCGAACGTGTGTCCCTGAGATCCAGTCATCAGTATTACAGTTTAGAGAACAGATGTTTCCATTCAGCCGTAATTTATGATGTATCAGGCACTTGTTCCTTCTGCACACCCTGTCATGCACT